GGGCCGTTGCCCAGGGGGGCAGCCAGGTAGATGCCCAGGAAGAGCCAGAAGTGCAAGAGCTGCAGCTCCCGTGTGTCTGCAAAGGCCATGAGGAAGAACTGGGTGATGGAGCTGCTGTTGGACATTTTGTCACTCTGGCCATGGGGATCTGTGCAAGGAGGCAAAAGGAGTAAGAAATTAGAACAGAATTCTTCGAGAAGCATAAATGCCATTTCTCATTAAAATCACCCAAACCACCTTTCCCTTTTCAGGTAGACCTTTGGTGAACTCTGGTTGGTGCTGGCTAAGGGTGCCTCAGGTAGCAGAGCAGGAGGCTCTGCTAAGACCTCTGCAGGACTCAGTCCTGCCCTATAGAAATAGGTAAAGAGGATCTTGAGGTGATCTCTGAATATATCCAAGTGTGATATCGAGGAGCTTTTCAGCACAGTCACTCCCAACTCACCTGACGGCAGAGCAGAGCTGTGGGGACTTTGTTTTTTCCCTTCTGGTGCAGTGTCCACACTGGTGCTCAGGAGTGGTTTTCATGCAGAACTCCCTGGCATTTCTGCTGCACTGCCAGGGAAATCTTGTGGATCCTGTGAAGCCAAAGGAGTGTCCCTGAGTGTGGAGGGAGGGCAGCCGCTCTGTCCATCAGCCCTGGGCTCAGCTGCCCTGTGCTGGCAGCTCTTTCAGTTCCAGGAACATCACACTCAGGCGTCCTCCCCAAAAGCAATAGGGCACTGCTGGGAGCAGAGGAATCCAGTTTCCAAGTGCAGATCTCCAGACCCCTCAGACCATCATACCTGAGGAGGATCTCAGCTCTGCCCTCCCAACCAGGGACACACAGAGCTCATGGCAACTGCCCACCTACAGCCACCCAGTAGCATTTCTGTGGCCTCAGCACCCAGGGGTCTTCTCCATGGGACTCCTGCATAACACAGAGATGCCACGGGAGAGCTTTTCCCTCCTTGAGGGCAGCCTGCAGCCCAGCAGGACCTCTCAAGGAAAGAGTCTCATCTCCTCCCTTTTTTACATCCTGAAGAGAGGCTGAGATCCCTGCCAGCCGCACACACTGCAGTACCCAGAGCCCCACAGGGTCACAGGGGGCGAGTGGGATGCTTTTCCTCCATGGACAGATGTGCATGGCAGTGCACACAGCGTTGGTGTCTGAGCTGCACTTGAATCCTCACCCCCCAAACACCCCAGGGAGTGTAACAGTAAGAGCAAGGGCAGCAGAGAGAAGAGGATCAGATGCCCAAGGACCCCTTTGCAAGGGAGGCAGGAGAGGGAGACCCAGTCAGACACGGGAGTTTTTCTCCTCTTTGGTGGTCAGGCTGCTGGGAAGGCAACTTCTGGCCAAGTCTCCATGACACTTAGGGCAGGGGCTCTGCTGTGTGAGTGAGGAGACCAGGGGGTGGCTCCAGGGAAATAGCCTGCACTGCAGGGGATGGCAGGGAGATGCCTGAATCCTTCCTCCGACAGCATTTCTGGCAGCACTTCTCTATTCCTTCCTGCCCATGGCTCTGCTGCCTGGAACTCTTCTTGGACAGGACCTGTTTCTCTGTCTGCACATCTCTTCCCTGCCACTGATCACAGTTCCCATCCCACCCGCTGTGTGCTCAGCTCTGCCCTGCAGACACCTCCTGTTAGCAAGGCACTGCCCAGGGACATCTCTGTGTGCAGGGTAAGCAGCATAGATTTCTACCCTTTCAGGGAAAGCCCTACCTTGGCATCCATCTTTAATATGACCAATCTGCAAATTTCCTCCTAGTGAAGTGGAAATCTGAGCAGCCCTAACCCTACTGTGTCCTCTGGACAACAGAAGGACCCTGCCCTGCTTCTCCCCACATTGCTCATAGTTCAGAAAATTCCTGCCCTGCCAAGGGTCACCTGTTCCACCCACAGCATTTTTGGGAGCACCCCGGGCAGGCTGAGTGCTGACCCTGGCAGGTGGCAGAGTCCCTGCCCTGGTTCACATCCTCCTCTGATGCAGGAACCCCTCTTGGAAGGAGAGTCCTGGGTACCCATTGCTGCACAGCTAGCTTGAAAACCCTTGAGTTGTCCAAAGGAGAAGGCAGCCATCATGCCCTGTCCCTCTGACGGTGAAGCAGCACATCCTCCTCCTCTAGAATGGGGAAAATGTGCGAGTCCTCCTGAAACATGACACCTGCTGTGGGATGTACCAGCCTTTTGATATACCTTCAAGAACACCAGCCACACTCTCCTTCACCCAGAAACTTACCATGTAAGGGGCTGTGAAGATCTATGCCCCTGTAAGCTCTGAGCATCCTTCCACCCCACAGAGCATTTAACCTCTCTCTGCCTCGCTCCTCTCCCCTCAGTGCCTGCAGGCAGTGCCCTCAGCCCTGCTGCACTTTGCAGAGGAGCTGCTCCTGGGCAGAGCTGTCTCTCGGCAGCGCAGCCCACTTGCCATCAGCTCCCTCCATCCCAGGAGCCCAGCCCAGCTCAGCAGCAGAGGACCAGCCCAAGGCAGCACAGGCTCTGCCCCCTCGGGGCTCCCTCCTGGTGTCCTAGGGCATGTAGACCTGCTGTGACACAGGCTGAAGTCATCCCTCATGTTCCTTCCCTCAGCTGGGGAGAGACACTTCTTCCCAGCACTGTAATTTCTCCTGTGAGGAGAACATTTGAGCATGAGAAACAGTTTTCATTATCCCATCATTAGACAGGACATCAGGGAGGTGATAATGAAAGACCCAAGTCTCCAAGCTGGGAGGATGAGTTCAATGAATATAAGTCTTTCATCCTGGGACTTTAGACCAGG